AACTGTTTAACCCGACACACTTTCATTACCCATTTTTTAACCCGACACACTTTATTACAAACCGTTTATCCCACACACTTTCATTACGAACTGTTTAACCCGGCACACTTTCATTACCAACTGCTTGACTCTATACACTTTCATTACCAAACGTTTAACCCGACACACTTTCATTACCCATTGTTTAACCCGACACACTTTCATTACCAACTGTTTAACTCTGCACACTTTTATTACCAACCGTTTGACCATACACACTTTCATTACCAACTGTTTAACCCGGCACACTTTCATTACCAACTGCTTGACTCGATACACTTTCATCACCAACTGTTTAACCCGACACACTTTCATCACCAACTGTTTAACCCGACACACTTTCATTACCAACTGTTTAACCCGACACACTTTCATCACTTTCATTACCCAGTGTTTAACTCTGCACACTTTCATTACCTACTGTTTAACCCGGCACACTTTCATTACACACTGTTTAACCAGACACACTTTCATTACCAACTGTTTAAACCGACACACATTCATTACTAACTGTTTAACCCGACACACTTTCATTACCAACTGTTTAACCCGGAAAACTTGTTTTACCCACTGCTTGACTCTATACACTTTCATTACCAACTGTTAAACGCGAAACACTTTCATTACCAACTGTTTAACCCGGCACACTTTCATTACGAACAGTTTAACCCGGCACACTTTCATTAAACACTGTTTAACCCGGCACACTTTCATTACACACTGTTCAACCCTACACACTTTCATTACCAACTGTTTAAACCGACACACATTCATTACCAACTGTTTAACCCGGCACACTTTTATTTCCAACTGTTTAACCCGACACACTTTCATTACCCACTGCTTGACTCGATACACTTTCATTACAAACTGTTTAACCCGACACACTCTTATTACGAACTGTTTAACCCGGCATGCTTTTATTACCAACTGTTTAACCCGACACACTTTCATTACCCACTGCTTGACTCGATACACTTTCATTACAAACTGTTTAACCCGACACACTTTCATTACCCACTGTTTAACCCGACTGTTTAACGCGAGACACTTTCATTACCAACTGTTTAATCCGACACACTTTCATTACCCACTGCTTGACTCTATACACTTTTATTACCAACCGTTTTACCCGACACACTTTCATTACCCACTGCTTGACTCGATACACTTTCATTACAAACTGTTTAACCCGACACACTTTCATTACCCACTGTTTAACCCGACTGTTTAACGCGAGACACTTTCATTACCAACTGTTTAATCCGACACACTTTCATTACCCACTGCTTGACTCGATACACTTTCATTACCAACCGTTTTACCCGACACACTTTCATTACCCATTGTTTAACCCGATACACTTTCATTACAAACCGTTTAACCATACACACTTTCATAAACAACTGTCTAACCCAACACACTTTCATTACTAACCGTTTAACCATACACACTTTCATTACCAACTGTTTAACCCGACACACTTTCATTACCCATTGTTTAACCCGACACACTTTCATTACCAACTGTTTAACTCTGCACACTTTTATTACCAACCGTTTGACCATACACACTTTCATTACCAACTGTTTAACCCGGCACACTTTCATTACCAACTGCTTGACTCGATACACTTTCATCACCAACTGTTTAACCCGACACACTTTCATCACCAACTGTTTAACCCGACACACTTTCATTACCAACTGTTTAACCCGACACACTTTCATCACTTTCATTACCCAGTGTTTAACTCTGCACACTTTCATTACCTACTGTTTAACCCGGCACACTTTCATTACAGACTGTTTAACCAGACACACTTTCATTACCAACTGTTTAAACCGACACACATTCATTACTAACTGTTTAACCCGACACACTTTCATTACCAACTGTTTAACCCGGAAAACTTGTTTTACCCACTGCTTGACTCTATACACTTTCATTACCAACTGTTAAACGCGAAACACTTTCATTACCAACTGTTTAACCCGGCACACTTTCATTACGAACAGTTTAACCCGGCACACTTTCATTATACACTGTTTAACCCGGCACACTTTCATTACACACTGTTCAACCCTACACACTTTCATTACCAACTGTTTAAACCGACACACATTCATTACCAACTGTTTAACCCGGCACACTTTTATTTCCAACTGTTTAACCCGACACACTTTCATTACCCACTGCTTGACTCGATACACTTTCATTACAAACTGTTTAACCCGACACACTCTTATTACGAACTGTTTAACCCGGCATGCTTTTATTACCAACTGTTTAACCCGACACACTTTCATTACCCACTGCTTGACTCTATACACTTTTATTACCAACCGTTTAACCCGACACACTTTCATTACCCACTGCTTGACTCGATACACTTTCATTACAAACTGTTTAACCCGACACACTTTCATTACCCACTGTTTAACCCGACTGTTTAACGCGAGACACTTTCATTACCAACTGTTTAATCCGACACACTTTCATTACCCACTGCTTCACTCTATACACTTTTATTACCAACCGTTTTACCCGACACACTTTCATTACCCACTGCTTGACTCGATACACTTTCATTACAAACTGTTTAACCCGACACACTTTCATTACCCACTGTTTAACCCGACTGTTTAACGCGAGACACTTTCATTACCAACTGTTTAATCCGACACACTTTCATTACCCACTGCTTGACTCGATACACTTTCATTACCAACCGTTTTACCCGACACACTTTCATTACCCATTGTTTAACCCGATACACTTTCATTACAAACCGTTTAACCATACACACTTTCATAAACAACTGTCTAACCCAACACACTTTCATTACTAACCGTTTAACCATACACACTTTCATTACCAACTGTTTAACCCGACACACTTTCATTACCCATTGTTTAACCCGACACACTTTCATTACCAACTGTTTAACCCGACACATTTTCATTACCCATTGTTTGGCCCGTATTTTACTCGTAGTAATTTTTAGCCCACATCGTGTTTTACATATCGCAAAGTCATTGGTGCATGAAAAAATTAGACAGATGTACAGATGGAGGGATGGATGGTTGGATTGATGGATAGATGGATCGATAGATGGATGGGTGGATGGATGGATGGATGGATGGATGGATGGATGGATGGCTATGGCTATGGCTATGGCTATGGCTATGGCTATGGCTATGGCTATGGCTATGGCTATGGCTATGGCTATGGCTATGGCTATGGCTATGGCTATGGCTATGGCTATGGCTATGGCTATGGCTATGGCTATGGCTATGGCTATGGCTATGGCTATGGCTATGGCTATGGCTATGGCTATGGCTATGGCTATGGCTATGGCTATGGCTATGGCTATGGCTATGGCTATGGCTATGGCTATGGCTATGGCTATGGCTATGGCTATGGCTATGGCTATGGCTATGGCTATGGCTATGGCTATGGCTATGGCTATGGCTATGGCTATGGCTATGGCTATGGCTATGGCTATGGCTATGGCTATGGCTATGGCTATGGCTATGGCTATGGCTATGGCTATGGCTATGGCTATGGCTATGGCCATGGCTACGGCAAGGGTTAGTGTTAGGGTTAGGGTTAGTTTTAGGGTTAGGGTTAGTTTTAGGGTTAGGGTTAGTTTTAGGGTTAGGGTTAGGGTTAGGGTTAGGGTTAGGGTTATGGTTAGGGTTAGTGTTAGGGTTACGGTTAGATTTGGGAGTTATATTTGGGGTTTGATTTCGAATTAGGTTTACAGTTATTTTTATGAACGGGGTTAGAGTCAAGGTAAGAATTAGGGTTAGTGTTATGGACAATTTGAAGGATACGATTAAATTAATATATAGGTATAGAGTTTGAGTTAGAGTTATGATTTTTGCATGAGGTGGGGGGAGGCGGTTAATTGCAGGGTAAGGGTTAGGGTTAGGGTTAGGGTTAGAGTTAGGGTTAGTGGAGGGGTAATTGACAGGGAGTAATTTACAAGCTGGTAATTGCTCCGGGATGTAAATACTGGTTAGGGGAGTTTATCCCGGGGTGTATTTGACGTGGGGGTAATGTCCTGTAGTCGTAAGCCCACCCATCTCAAAATGTCAGCCCACCCATCACTATTATGTCACACATCTTTACATATGCCAGCCAACACATCTCTTTAGATATCAGCACTCCATTTCCTTTTAAACCACACATCTATGTAGATACCAGACCACCCCTTTCTTTGTCAGCCCACACACCTTTGAATGGTGCGCGGACCTATGGTTAAACCCCCTATGGTTAAAGCTCGGTTGTGGTCAAACCCCCTATGGTCAAACTCCTATGGTCAAAGCACCTGTGGTCAAAGCACCTGTGGTCAAAGCACCTAAGACCCTTTGAATGACAGCCCAACAATCTCTATGACAGCCCATACATCTTCCTAGATATCAGCCCACACATCCATCTGATCGCCTAAGTAGCCCTACATACAAGCTTGAATAAAATACAACAAAATTCTCGCTCTTTGTTTTCATGTAAGCGTATTAATCACGTGACCATGCAAGATGGTGTAATTTTTTTTTACTTATTATTTTTTATACGTTACAATTCAAAGTGTAAAAATTACCCTGCCTCCTGTCGCCTTTAATGTATTAATCATACGGGACTATTGGACGCGCCTGAAATAGCTAAAAGGCGCGGGTATGCTGGTATCAACGCGACTCGAATATTTTAACAAACGTTTTGCCTTTTCACCACGTTGTGGCACATGTTTTACGCATTCGTGCACAATGAAAGCTGAATACAAAACACTTTTCAGTTGAGTTGTTCAGGCACTTAACCGATGATATCTCTAAAAAGGTTTTTCAAAATGAAAATGTTGCTGAATATGGGTGACAAATGATTATAGGATAAAATTAACATACTTAAGATAACTGAATGATATATATAGACCTGAATATTGGTATGACTCTGAACAGAACCCGACATCAATAGTCTTCTGGTAAAACAAATTTAACTGGGTAAGTTTATGCATTTAATTTGATATTTTTTTTTTGTAATTTTTTTTATTTCTATGGGTATATGGCTTTGCAAAACACTAGACCTAATTTGTCTTTCTGGTATATACATCTAAAATCAGGCTATTGAACACCATTGTATCAAACGTTTTCAGACTTTTATATAATTGAATTGTGTAGAGCAGCTATTCAGTCATATTATACTCTCTATCTGTAAGACGGCGGCTGGGGTACCATGGTTGCCTCTTCCCCAATGCCTGACCATCCGCCTGGTGCTTTGATGCCCTCAGTGAATCTGAAAAGACTATCCGGTCCAGTCCCAGTTGTTGGGTTCTAGAATCTAGGGGTATATAAATAACAACAGACAAATACGACGTATACAACAATAACACTAACACTCTATAATAACAATAATAATATATTTAATAATATATACAGTACTTAAATAATAAAAGGATCAAAAGGGGTCTACAACATAAATACAATACTCAACACTACGTTCCACGTTCCACGTCCACAGCCACACTACAAGTGACTGATTCACACACTAGCACACGCTCTGACACTCGTCACCTGACACACCTCACGTGAACACCTCTCGCTCCATGTAAACACACTCAACCAAGGGATACAACTATACACCAAAGGGAGAGTACCTGTCGTTCCAGCACACAACACACACAAGCAGGGGACATGTAAGGGACGTAACATCCCTCCCCTCCACCTTCAGATCTCTTTTACTTAAAGAGGTCAAACATCTCTTGTTCCATTAGCCACTGTTGGTGCCCGAGCTCGACTATTTATTCTTCAGCCCTTAGGACGCCTCGCTTTGACCGGTGGGGACAGCGTTTGGCTTGTATCCAGCCTGGACAGTTCGGTCCAGAGTGTGGCTTGTATCCAGCCTGGACAGTTCGGTCCAGAGTGTGGCTCGCATCCAGCTTTAACATTTCGGTCCTGAGTGTGGACTATGGTTTTCTCCGGCCGGGCACCAAGCTAGTGGTCTGACTATCTCAACCTATGAAGATACATGTGAGAAGCCACAATAAAAAATTTGATTTGCATAATCATTCTAAACTGCATCAGTAATACCTTTCTCAAACATTTCTCAATATAATTATATTATAATGCCTCAATAGTAAATTCCTTAACATAATCATACTATACTCCAACAATAATACATTTCTCAATATCATATACACTAATTGGCGTAAAACACTCGTGATAGAATGTCTGCTACAAAGTTCTCAGTTCCCTTGATATGTTTCACAGTACAGGCTGTTTCCTGTAGTGTAAGGGCCCATCGGCAGATGCGTACGTCGCCATAGATGGTCATCTTTTCTTAAAGGCGATCAAACTGAGTTCCTTTCTCGATAGCCGTTTTAACTACATTAATCATCTCCAGCCCGTAATCATCATACACAGCTTCTGTAAAAAAAAACAAAGAAAAATTTACATTGATTGAATAAATTATCTTAACAAAAAACTTACCAAGGACACTACCTTTGTAAGGATACGCCTCCAAATTTCGTGCTTTACCTCACTCTCATATGCGAGTCTTTAACCAGGGAAAAATTTCCTAACATATCACGCTGAGCTGTGGGACACACCCGTGATATGTGACCAACACCACCGCAGCAATAACACTTGAGATCATCTGACCGTCGATGTACATTTTCAGTACGCCAGTTGCTCGCTCCACTGGTCCCGTTGGGACAGTTTCGTTGTGTGTGGCCTGGCTTTCTACAGCTACAACAGGCGCCTGTATCTATATCCATACTGCACTCTTTGGCAATATGACCTTGTTCATTGCACTTGTAGCACCGATAAGGTCTTTTGTTGTTTCCATACTCCACAACAGCTCTTTTATCTGACCTATTTCTCCAAGTAAAGCCGCTATTACTATTGCTATGACAATCCCTGGCATAGTGTCCATAACGTCCACATGTGTAGCATTTACTGCTCAGACTGAACTTGCTGACACCATGCATCGGTTGTAAACCAGCTTGTCGTGCCTGTCGTTTACCTGATTCGCTCCTGTCTCGTCTAGAGGTATGACAGACTCCCGCTATATGGTCAACTCCCCCGCATGAGTAGCACTCAATTTCTTCTGTGGAAGGGCAAGTGTGGCGTCCTGGAGATCGCGGTGTCTTGTTTTGCCAGGGTATCCTCTCTGCTGTAGAACTTGCAGCGACATACGGAGGGGTTTGATTTACTGGCCTCGTCACTCTAGCGTTTTGAGTGCTCTTATAGTTGTCAATAACTTTAAGATTATCTTCCACACTTACCTTAGCAGCACCATTCAGCCTCTCCAACAGATCACAAGTAACAACCGATTTTATCCGATCAACTATCAGGAGGTTCACCAAGTCCTCAAACGTTTCCTTTATTCCCGACTGCTGGACCCAAGCTCTCAAAGCTGCTTCTGTGTTGACTGCGAAGCTTCTCATGTGGTCGTGTATTGGTACTAGCTGGTGGAATCTGACCCTATACTTTTCCTCGTTGAAACCTGCGTGCGTGAATAACTTTACCTTTACTGACTCGAAGTCATGATGCAAGTTCAGTCCCGTCTCAACGAGGAAAGTCTTCAGTTGTCCACTCATCTTGTCCGTCAGAAGGAGCGACCAGTCCTTGGGGTCAATGCCTTGTCTCTTTGCTTGACTCTCAAAATGCCTCACATACGCACCCAGGTCTTCGTCCACCGTCATCGCCGCCACGTCCCTCAAGCGGGGTACAGGGTTACATGCCTTTGCTACAACCTCGACCTTCGCATCTTCCACCCTCCTCAACTCTTCCTTTACCCACTCCGCCAAACTGTCATCGGTCAGCCCGATTAGCTTTCCCTCCTCCTTCAAGTCACTTGTTAGCTGTCTTCTGGCACTCCTGGTAGTAGCCATGCTAAACGGACGAGCCCCCAAATGTTGGGTTCTAGAATCTAGGGGTATATAAATAACAACAGACAAATACGACGTATACAACAATAACACTAACACTCTATAATAACAATAATAATAAGATATTTAATAATATATACAGTACTTAAATAATAAAAGGATCAAAAGGGGTCTACAACATTAATACAATACTCAACACCACGTTCCACGTCCACAGCCACACTACAACTGACTGATTCACACACTAGCACACGCTCTGACACCCGTCACCTGACACACCTGACGTGAACACCTCTCGCTCCATGTAAAAACACTCAACCAAGGGATACAACTATACACCAAAGGGAGAGTACCTGTCGTTCCAGCACACAACACACACAAGCAGGGGACATGTAAGGGACGTAACACCAGTTGTCATTCAGCCTTCTCCTTTGTTTTCCTCGCTTTCTCTCCCCCTCCCCCACCAGGTGCCCAGTAAATCATCTGAAAGCTCCTACCTAGGGCTTGGATCCGTTTCAGTGAGTCTGTATTGGGCGTCCATGCCTCTCCACCATGTATGCAACTCACTATGGGAACAGCTCACAATCTAGCACCAGCAATCGTCCCGTAAATTTTAACAAACTGCTTTGGGGAAACTTTCGAGGGGAATAAAAACAGTACATTGCTAAGTCCCATTTCTTAAGCTCAAGATCTCTTATATGAAGAGAGTTGAACAGTATTTCCATCTGTTTTTGACAGAGCCCAATGAATGAATCGGTTTATCTAAATCGTGACCATTGTGATTATCTTTGTTCGTTATCATTTTAATATTACCTGCTGACCAATTTACAGCAATATGAAATTAGCATATTAAATAGTATTGATTACTTATAGTATAATTCTGAAAACTAAGAATTAAAATGTGATTTTGTTTTCCAAAAAAAAATATGTTCAAATTTTTATACAATAATTTGTACGTATATATAGTCAAGGTCATAATTAAATATATATATAAATACAACTTAACACCCAAAGGTAAAGTTAACAAAGATAAGAATATGTAACGTTTGTGTCAAAATATACATGGGACCATTTGTTGCTAGTGTCCCGCCCATGTGACGCTTGTTATACACTTAATATAACGAATTAGCTTTTAAAAAGTATTACTCTAAACTTGTTATTTGATATATACAAATGGTACGGGTACAAGTTCCAAATGCATTTCGCACTTTAAATGTTAATATTTAAGAAGATATGCACTTTCCAGTGTGCGTGTTTTCTTTTTTTTTTCGCCAGTTTGACAAGTCGAGCAAAACCGGTGCTATAACTTTTTTTCTAAATTAAAATGTTTCACAAAACAAACACAAATACAATTGTCTAACCATTTCCAAATACAATGATATATAATTTGTGTTTTAAATAGTATTTTAATAAATGTTCGCAATTCTTTTTACAAACATCCCTTACATTGGGACGCTAGCAGGATATGTTTTCATGGGTGTAAATACATTTTGCATTGATTGAACTATATTTGTTTAAGGGGGTATGCTCTTTTAAAAAAAGAATTTGACAATGTTAGATCTTAATCATTTTTATATACATTTAGCATGTTGGACACATGAAAGTAAGTATCAAATAACAAAAAGGGATTTGAAAACAATTCCAATTTACTTGGACACCCAACAAAACTTCCGCTATTTTATTTTTTTTGGTACTATTAAAAATACTTAGTTTTTTTCGATAAACAATTGTAGTAGTCAACTTAACGCTGCTTATATTTCAGTATATTATTATACTAAAACTTTTGTCACGACAACTTTCTTATAGAGTTAATGTTGAGAATTCTACAAAATCTGAAATATTGCACACGTTAGTATGCAAAGGCTTGAAAATCTGCATATTTTTACCATACCATTTTTTCTATGAAAGCCATAACGATTTACAACAGACAAATATATATTATCACATAAAAACAAATACGGAAAATATAGTAGAAATTGTATCATTTATTTAAAAACTTAGTTGGCTTTATAGTGTTAAAATACTGTAAAATGAGAAAAACAGGTAAAATTAACAAAATAAAGTCACAAGAAATAGCATTATTTTGTCAATTGAAAGCTTTTGATGTTTCCGTGCTGGCGGAAAATACGATTGATAAATACCATGGATATCCAGCTTTCCAATGATGCAAAATACAATATGATAACGGATAAATAACTTTTCGCAGAGAGAGTGTAAGATTGAACAAAAAAGTATGTTTTAATTAATGGGGTCTAAAACTGTAATTTAAACACATTAAAACAAATAATGCCTTACTAATGTTATTATTGTTTTAATATAAAAATGGACAATGTATCAAAAGTGCAAGATACCAATTATGAAGAAAAATCAGGATTTTAGTCCCCACGCAAATCCCTTTAAATTACTATAAGCGTATAGTTAATTACAACAACTGTTAACTGCCATGCTATTACTAGTCATAATGATGATTTACAGATTGCAGCCATGTTCAAGTTCTTGCTGATTGTGTTTGCTACTGGGCTGTCGCTATGTCATGGCGAAGTAGATCCTGCGCTGTTTGTGAAAAACACAAAGATATGTCTGCGTGTGGAACCATACGTTAAAACTCGCTCCTGCGGCGGATCAACTAAAATGCAAGAGTTTTGTGGTGACATTAACCAAATGACGCCGGACTACTTGGATGACACTACATGGACAACTCTTGGCTGTAAAATGCAATGGGGGATCTTTTCTTCTGTGCCCAATCCCCCAGCTTGGATGAAAAATATTAGTTTTTGCATGTCTTGGTCATCAAAGTACGACTATAATAATTGCAATCGTGACCCAGTTAACTCTGGTGAGCGCTGCGCCTTTCTAAACGGTTATTCATATCTATATACCGACTACACTGACCGTAGCTTTGGCACATGCGAATTGCAATGGATAATTATAATACCTAACGACGCTCCAGCCTGGATGAAAAAGATACAGCTCTGCTTCAACTGGAGAGCAACCGGCGATGCTAGTCAATGTAAAGGTAGTGCAAATAATCAGTGTGTCGAAGCCAATAAATGGACGGCACCCTTTTATGATGGAACCAATACAAAACCTGGCGGCTGCTTGATGAGCTGGGGCTTAAAGTTGCCTAGTTAAATCAAAGTAGAAAATTCAGCTATATTTTACTTGTAATTTTCAACTAAGTTAAAAACCACTTGTGTTCTGTAATTTGGAAAAATAAATTTAAAGCTGAATACTTGTTCTGCAGACTTTGTTTTCAATGAGCGATTTTAAAATCTCAAAATGTCACAGAAACGTCATCCGATAATACACATTCATACAGTATCATATGTATAATTTATATATAACTAGCTTACTTCGTGTAATGTCGATATCAAGGATAGTTTTATGTTTATTTATACGAGAATAGTAGTTGAATAATTATTAACCAAGAAAATAATAGGCATTCTGTAAAGCGATTATCGCCTGTATCGTTGTGATGGGAATGCACATGGTAGTGGTACGCTTTAAATGGTAGTAGATCACGTGATCAAACACGACACTCTCACAGCAGCCCTAACTGTCATGTATAAATGTGTCATCTAGTCGATATAGGTATTTGTGCTAATTTTTTCTTTTGCACATTTTTCGTTGTGTATTTTCTGGTTGCGCATTTTTCTGTTTGCGCTTTTTTGTGTTTGCGCTTTTTCCGTTTGCGCTTTTTTCTGTGTGCGCTTTTTTCCGTTTGCGCTTTTTTCCGTTTGCTCTTTTTTTCGTTGCGCTTCTTTCTGGTCACCACATATATATATATATATATATATATATATATATATATATATATATATATATATATATATATATATATATATATGTATAAGTGGTAAGGTTACCACTTAAACAGGACAAGAGGTTATTGTATTGAGCACCATAAACGTCACACCTAGGTATACGCTGGATAAGATTATAGACTTAAAGTGATCGGACAGTGGTGAATTAAATTTAACCCCCAACCCCTTACAAATATATTACGCAAATTTAGGAAAACGCTTAATGCGGTACCCAAAGTAAAGTCGGAACTACCATTGCGCCAGACCTCGCAGTGGGCTCAAAACTTCATCACAAATATTTTGTATGCACCTAAATGTCTACTATAGCAGCAGTGATTGTTCTATAGCACAATATTGCGTAGACAAAAACAGTTACATGAGCTGTTGTGTTAAGATAGACAAACCTTTAAACCTCTTCCATGACTTATCGCCCCAATTTAAATATTCTAATTGAGTGCTCAAACAAGCTCGTTTTTGTACGATGTTCGGTGATAAACCCCTTGGACAAAAAAACCCTGACATAAAGATGTAGCAGACTTAACGTACAAAAATAGTATACAACCATTTATAAAGTAGATTCAATAGAAGTCTTACTTATGTGTAAGCCCTGCTAGGGGGGGATACCTAAAATCTATTCTACCCTTCCCTAGGCTTATCTAATACCGTCCGGTCAGCCCGGCTAAACCCAGACTGGTTAATAACCTAACCTTAGTCTAAATTAAAAAAAAAACAAAAAACTTTTAACAATTAATCAAATTTATTTTACACATGGAACCAATGATAAAATAAACCGGGAGTGATCTCCCCTTATATTCTTATATAAAACAAACAGGGGATGTGAACTCGGGTTATAGACATGATTTTTAATCCATTTTAAATACTTAAAGTTTTAAAAATAGAATAAAATCTCGTAGACAAAAAATTGCACACCAAGTGAACGCCAAATAAAAAAAGTGCATAATAGTGCGCAATATTATTAGTACTTTAAAAATTTACATTCGTTTTTTGAGAAAGCAAAATTACTACTTCCAGTCAACGGAAATTACTCACAATTTAATAGAAGGTAGAGAATTAGATCTTTTACTTTCATATAAAATTTCATTTATCTATCTGAAATAGTACTCAAGTTCTTTTGAAAAATTCAAAGTAGAAAAAGTACCACTTTCGGTTATCGGAAATCGCTCAAAAGTTGACAAGGATCTACGATTTTGATAAAATACTTACATATGAAATTTCATCAACCTAGCTGTAACGGTACTCAAGTAATCGTGTTACACACGGACACACACACACACAGATAGACAGACAGACACACAGACATACGGACAAGATTGCAAAATTATGTTTTTCCGTATCAGTAAGGTGTAAAACGTCGAGATTTGTAAAAATCTCGATTTTTTTTTTTGCACGATTACAAGACTTTCTCTATACTTCGTATATACGAGAAAGTAAAAAGAATAGATACAATATTACAGACACAAAACCGAACAATTTACACACCACAAACAGAACATAAAACAGAATGTAACAAAACAGTTTATATACAACAAAATACCCAATTCCGGACTACGTCCTGGAAAAAGGAAAAAAAAGACAAATTAATTACCAAAAGAAAAGGTTATATACAAATTATTAAACACAGGCTGACTGGATTACATCTCAACAGCCTGCAGGTAGTTCACACAGAACAAACTCCAAAAATATAAAATCTATTAACGTGCACATCCATAGTGGCTTAGAATAAACCAAACACTCTCCTGGGGATCAACAAAGATCACCACAGGAAGTGTAAGTCCACTATAATGGCTTAAAAATAGTATAAACAGCATAACCAAACCCGACAGTCAGGAATGAACCCTAACTGTGGGTCAGGCAACAATAACCTTATCCCGGGGATACAATATCCCAGGGGGATACAATATCTCTACTACTTAACCCAGGGATGTGACCAGACCAGGAAAAAAAATTAGGAAATTTTCTTTGGATAATAATTCAATATGTTTTATCTACTTTTTATCGCGGTTAAGCAGCTTCATACCGCAGTTAAGCAGCTTCATACTGTTACTGTAGAAATGAATTGTTTTGATAAAGTTAATATTTTAAATACAAGAAGTTTATGTTACTCTAAAATAACATTGAAAGTCTTGTCTAATTGCAATTTAATGTTACCTTATAAACAACTTTTTAAAAATTACAATGTAACTAAAGTAGCAAGTTTTATTTTACCATTAAGCTAATTTAAACTGTACTAATCTAGTGTAGATTCTAGATTTACTCCTGTTTTCAATTTTTAAATAGGGGGCCTAATGCCTTATATTCTTTTAAAGATTGGATTGACCGATTGGTAAAAATATTTGTCTTCAACTGTAAAGACCCTAGATTAAGATTAGTTATAATATGAACGTTTTAGGTTCATGTGATGGAAATATGAAATGGACCAGGTTAGCTAAAATTAGAAAGGGTCTGACGTGTGAACCAAAGTTAATAATTATGATAACCAAGCCACATCGATATTTGTTTTTTTGGAATAGCTGTAAATTGTTAGGGGTCATCCACGTTTTTTTTACCATAATATTTACCTCCCCTCTCTCCTACAAAAGCCAGACTCCCCCCCCTCCCACCACAGTCTGAACGTATTTTTTCTTCCACAAACAAGACACGGTAGTAGTCACGTTGAGTTAAGTATTTTTTTTTAAATCTGTAGGCCTACATAGCATACGTATTGCAGGAACAGCTATTTGAAATTGACTGTGACGTCATTTTTTTTCCACAAGCCGTACCGAACACGTACTTGGGGTCAAGGTGAGGTCACAAGAGCCACCGTTGCTACGAGGTGGGGCGGGTTAGTCTAGTCCTCATAGTCGCCTTTTGCAAGGATTTCAATATTAATTTGAGATTGCGAAATAAAATAGAATGAGAGAGAAACTCTAGATTTAGGCGGGTTAAAATGCCGATAGGTAAATTAGGCTTTATCGATAGCTAGATTTCCAGGCTTAAGAGATGTAAGTTTCATTTGAATAACTGCATTATTTTAGATTACCTTTTCCCGTGTTTTTGATAAATAGTTAACTGAAAATATCAGCGGAAAATTTGGACTAAAAAAAGTGTGCTTTGAAAAATTCGAAAGTCCGCTGAAATTCCGAATCTTAATCTACATTTAACTTGATCTAGCACCGTCAGACCTAGCGCAATCGACCAATCGAAAAGAAATGTGCATATTCGAGTGTCCGTTTGACCTAAGTACAGTAGTTGTCGATTTAAATTTAAATACGAATAAGTGGAATGAGCATGTCGGCCCTTTCCGTAGAAGACATTTCCGTTTTTTTTTCCTAATTTTTAAAACTTCGTAAAAAATCGACAAAAATTGAAACTCGGCGGAAAAATTCGGCGAAAATTAAATCAGCGGAGGAAAATCGCAACTGAAACGGAAAAATCGGATTTCCGCTAAAATTCGGAAAAGTCACATCCCTGTTAACCCAACAGCCAGGAGTAAACCCTAACTGTGGGTCAAGTCTAAATAACTTTATCCCTGGCTTAACACAAGCCCAAGGGATAAAACCAATACCACTTAACCCAACAGCAAGGAGTAAACCATAACTGTGGGCCAAGTATAAATAAGCATTATCCATGGCTCAACACAAGCCCAAATGATACTACAAAGTAACAAAATAAAATAATAAACATAATAATATAATAAAACTCAAAATAATATAATAAAACTCAGAATCTGAGTCCACGTGATCTGACAAAACCACAATGGCGGTAAGAAATTAGCCACAGAAAAAAGCTTATGGCCAGCAACCAAAAATAAACTGCAAAATACATAAAATAAACATTTTTCAAACTTACCAGGTTTACAAAAAACAAATACACAAATAATAAAAGCTAGATGGACGTTCTTCTGACTTAAGTAGCATCGGATGGAAAAAGGACTCTTCCTAACCTCATCCCGTCAGCATACCAAAGTGGACAGAACACCAAGCCGGAAATCGACTTTCACACACCTCACACACTATACGTAAACAAATAGTCCCTAATTCACAGATAACAAACCAAACGCCACGTAACATGCAACAGAATTATATAAAAAGACACTTAATATAAACATTGACAACAGTATAAACGAAATACATACAAACTAGCTGTAAACAGGGACATAAACAGTTAGACATCGGCGCCATAATACAGAACTACACAACTAAAAAGTACGAACAGTTTACGACATGAAACGAAACGGCACATTCGCCTTCTAAGTTACAAATAATAATAACACACTCCAGCCGCTCACATATGACATAAAATATTATTCTATTAGTCTACTAATAAACAGAGCTTTAGAATATCAAATAATAAAACATGAAATCACTTCTAAAAAAAA